AAAAAAGATTAGGGATCTATCTAAATAGGACCTGAATTGGAACACTAACAGCACTAAACTAAGAGACAGGACAGATAAGAATTTTGCCTGGTTCTGAATCATTTATAGATACTTCCATTGCTCTGAGTGGTTTTTTGTAACAGTGGATAAGTGGGAACATACATAAAAGCTATCTTCAAATGCCATAAAGATGAGTAATCTAAAAATAAAGTTGTTGGGAGTCATTTTTGCTACAATATGTGGGCAAAGTTTCAATGAGAGGCAGCTTAAGAACAGGATTTAGATCTTTATATCTATAGTTAGATATTTGGGGTTGAATTAAAAGAAGAGTTTAGATTCAAAGGTTATTTTTTTATTGTGACAGTCATGAAATACTGAGAGATCAAAAATTCTTTCAATCCAAAATTATAATCCTATTATTATATTTTAAATTCCCATAACTATTGCTAATTCTACTATCAAAATAGTGGATCCCTTGTTGGGGTGTGTATGAGAGGCAACCAATCCATGTTTGTCAGTCAAATTGATATATCTTTCTCTCTCTCCCTTCTCTTTCTCTCTCTCTCTCTCGTTTTATCTCTCTCTCTAAAAACCAATAAAAACATATCCTTGGGTGAGGATTTTAAAAAATTGTGGAAACTAATTCTTTTTTCCCCCACATTGACTTAGCATATTATTAGGTAATCAGAAATTAGATGATTTGTCCCAGATCCAAGTGGCTAAGCCAGGATTCGAACCCCGTTCAATTTGACTCCAAGGCCCCGGATTATGGAGGCCCTTTTTACTTTGTCGCAGTGTGTTCTAAAGATTATTTGACAAGAGACTGAAAATACTGAGCTCAACTCCTAAAACAGAGTGGGTGTACATCAGTTAATTACCTATGTTATTCCTAAACAACCCATAAGGAGGCCACCTTTTCAGCCTAGAATGTCCCAGAATGAGCAGGTACGAGCTTTCCTGAGCAATTGCTCACCTGTGTATCTTAAGGAGAGGGTCTGAGAGGGGAGGACATAGGCAGAGCAGACTTAATAAGAGGAGAAGATTGAAATCCAACTCATAAAACAAGATATCTAATAACACTTCAGAAAACATGGGAATGCCCTTCACAGATTTTTAATAAACTCAACCATGTAAATATTAGCATTTTTAAAATAATCAGCTTCCGGTAAGAGTATGAATTACAATTCAATGACAAGCCAGACAACACTCCTTCCTGTAAATGCAGCATATAAAATACCATAAACACTGGCACAAGAATTGATCTCCATGCAGCAATCAGATGAAAACAATTACATAGACCACACGTGTCAAACACAAGGCCCGCGGGCCAAATCCGTCCCGCCAGGCCTTGCAATGTGGCCCGCACCGCGCTGTCATCACTGCACTCTGCTGCGTTTCCATCACAATGACAGTTTATGACTGTTCAGTAAACCATTCGGCCTGCGATTTAGGCTGGATTTTAGATTTTGGCCCCTTCTCTGATTGAGTTCGACACCCCTAACATAGACTAATCAACCGTTAACAATTCTTTCCAAATAGGCAATCAATATAAATCTGTTAGGTTTCTATGGATGTCATAACAAATGATCACAAGCTCAGTGGCTTAAAAGAACACTAATGTATTGTTGTACATTTCTGTGTGTTAGAAGTCCAACAAGGGTCTCACTCCATAGGGCTGCATTCCTTTCTCAGAACTCTAGGAATGTCTTTTTCTAGTTCGGGAGCCTGCCTCCATTCCTTGGCTTATGGCCCTTCCCTCTACCTTCAGCGGCAGCCCTGATTCTGAATACCTCTTCTCCTTCTCAGGACCTTTGTTTCTACTACACTGGGTCTCCCTCCCCCTGCCCCCCCCCCCCAGATAACCCAAAATAACCTCCCTGATTAGTAATCCTAATTCCCATTAAACTCTCCTCTTTTGCCAATTACCCACTATAGTCACAGGTTCTGGGGGAGAAAGGGGAAGTGCATTATTCTTCCTACCATAATCTCTAAGAGAGATCCCCTTTGAATTATATAACATTAACCTCTGGGTGTAAATAATACACTGCAACTCATACATACCTTATTCGTTTTCTCCCAATGATTCAAAAATAGAGGAGGTGTGTGAGGGTTTTGTGTTTGGTGTTTTTTTTTTGTTTTGTTTTTTTGACAACTTTAGAACCTGCAAAGCAAACGTGTTCAATGTTATTGAACAAGAGCAGAAAGAGACAACACTATGACAGTAAGAGCTATGTGTCCTGTTTACACTAGGTGGTGAAAATTGATTATCACTGATGTCAGGCTTTCTTACCGTTCCAGGAAAAATAGGTATCGAAATGGAATATCCATGTCAACAAGCCACATAAGGCTGTCTTCGCACACCCCTGGAACCTAGCATACCATTTTATCCTTTTGCATCTGAAAATTGCTATGTTTCCAAAGAAAGAAAAAAATATCTGTTGTATCAGCAATAAGTACCTCAGAGTGATGACTTAGAAAGTGAAGCTTTGGATAGTGTGGGTGAGATCTGAAAGCACAGACATTGTGGAATGAATTTTTCTCTGAATAGGCTCATCTACCATCTACGCAGCATATTTGTTATTATATCAAACTTAAGTTAAATTCCACTACATATAAAAATACTTGGTTGCTTAACTTATTAGAAAAAAATTATATGGGATGTCACACACACACACACACCCCAAGAATATTTTAAAGAAAAAAAATTGTTCAAGTTCTGTGTAAGTGCACTGTCTAGATCAGGAGATGGAGCCAGAAAGGTCACAAATAATTGGGCGTGGCTATTTATTTGTGGGAACCACATTGTGCATACACAGAAGGTGCTGAGCATGCTAAAGCCTGTTGGTCCCCTATGAAGAGGCCAGGCACCAGACACCACTGATGGTTGTCACATAGGTCCTCTGATATTCCCATAATTAAGAAAATGATATTTTGCCGAAAACGGTTTGGCTCAATGGATAGAGCATCGGCTTGGGGACTGAAAGGTCCCAGGTTCGATTCTAGTCAAGGGCATGTACCTTGGTTGCGGGCATATCCCCAGTAGGGGGTGTGCAAGAGACAGCAGATTGATGATTCTCTCTCATCGATGTTTCTAATTCTATCTCTCTCTCCCTTCCTCTCTGTAAAAAATCAATAAAATATTTTTTTTTAAGAAAATGATATTTTTATGTGGAATCGTTTAAGTTTTCCATGTTGGCAACTAAATAATATACTGCAGCCCAAAGACAGCCCAATGAAACATAGGAAAGGACCAAACTTAGCTCATCAGCCAGCAGTCTGCACCTTCAGATCTAGATCAGCCACTCCTTGATAACTGCCTGATATTTCACTTGACAAATCGACCGACCAGTGTAACTTGTTATCCTAAACTGTCTAATTGGATGCAAACATTATCAAAGCCTAGAAGGAAAAAAAAATGTGTATACACAGATGAGATCAAGAGTTCTAGCAACTGAGGGGTTCTTTGTTTCTTGAGGGAACAGATTATGTCTTATTTTCTGTTGTGGCCCCAGCATATAAATAATGTCTGTCACATAGTGGGCTGTTTGTTGAATTAATGAATGACTAAACTTTAAGGGAAATCTTGGTAACTCTGAGGGATTTATTTCTACTTGTTAATGTAGAGATGTAGTGGTCTAGACTTAGAAAGTAAAAACCCTTTGCCCTGGCCAGTGTAGCTCAGTTGGTGGGTCATCATACCATACACCAAAAGATTGCTGGTTCGATTCTTGGTCAGGGCACATGCCCAGGTTGTGGGCTCGATTCCCAGTGGGGGGTGGGGGCATGTAGAGGGCATGCAGGAGGTAGACAATCAATGTTCTACACTCATATCAATGGTTCTCTCTTTCTTTAAACAATCAATAAAATTATTAAAGAAAAAAGTGAAAACCCTTCAGATTTCCCATATTATCCAATATACATATATTTATTCTAACAATTATTATATATTCCAACAATTTTTGTTGTTGCAATTACCAATGAGGCCTTTTATAATATAATGGGGCAAAAGGAATTTAACTGAAAACAATACTGTAACAACAACCCAAACCAAGTATTTGTTTGCAATCATTTTCATGTTACAAAGTCCTTTCAATATGTGATTTCTCTTATCGTCAGATCATCTCTCTAAGGCAGACAGATATAATTCCACTTTAGAAAACTTGAACTACCAGGGAAGTTAACTGATTTTTACAAAGCCTTACACAAAATTAGCAACAGGGCTGCACTTCATCTCTGGCTCAGACCAGGATGGCTCTCTCCTAACAGGGAAGCAACGTGGAGGTGCATTGAATTAATTAAACATGCACAATGGCACCTTCATAAACAGGAAGGGTAGGGAAGGCCAACACCGGCACAGAGGAGGGAGGAAATAAGAGCATGGAGAGTGTAATGTCTGTCAAGAGGGTGTGCAGAGAGTATCAGTTTACTCATCGTGACACCACTAGTGTGCTGGTTGAATCAGTCAGCAAAGTGAGACACATCAGCCGGAATGCGTTGCTCTGTGAAATTTTCATTCCCCACGTGTGTCTGTGTCCCTCACGAGAGAGTCAGAGACTAACACATTTTGCCAGAAGAGCTCCTGAAGCAACCTCTATGCAGAATTCACTCAACTTTCCTGGATGGTGAATGGGTGACGGTATATTGGTGACAGTGTAACAGGGCTAAGAACAAAGGCCTTGAAGTCGGTGTTCTAAAACCATTCTGTCAATGTCTAGCAGTGTGGCTTTGGGCAAGCCATGCCACTTCCGAGAGCCACAGTTTCATTTGTGAAAAGGGGGGACAGCGATAAGACTTCCTCCCTAAGTTTGTCGTGAGGGTTAAGTTAATGCTTATAAACGCCCTGTGGGACGCTGGGTAAACGCACTCAGGAAATGTTTTGCTGCTGCAAACATACTGAAATGTCAAGTTCAGACGAGTCCACAGAGGCAGAGAAGGGGCATTTGCTTGGTTCCCCAAACAGAGATGCTGAGAGAAAACTTTGGAAAGTGACCCAACATGTATTTTTACAACAAACTTTTAATTTACCCCACATGCCATTTAGAAGATAGGAATAGAACAAAGAGAGATAAAAGCACAGGCGCAGTGTGATTCCCCATCAATAGAAATAAATGATTACAAACAAAAAGTAGTTTTCAGACACAAGCTCATCGATAGGAAACCTTGTGGCAGGTCAAGGTTTACCAAGGAGTGAAGACCTGAGAACTGGCTGGTCACAGAGCAGGGCATTCAGAAGGAGGAACATGTGCAATATTCTTTCTTTTTTTTTTTTAAGTCATTTACTTTCTTCCCAGAAAGTTTAACTGTCATCAACGTATCATCTTATCAAAGAGCAGCTAACTTACTTTCCAGAGTGTACTTTGTTCTTAGATTGTTAATCTTTCAACAGACATTTTCAGATCCTAACTGCTCCTAACACAGAGATAAAAAGAAGGCCGAGATAGAAATACATTCAGGGGAGAAAGAGAAAAGGAGGGTGTTGATTTCCTAAACAGAAATGACACATACTAAATGATCTCTATCATTCTTAGAGTGGTATTAGTAAGAGCAAACGAAAGGCAAGCAATTAAAACGTTTTCTACCCAAAAGTAGCAGATAGAAGAACAATGACAGCAAGTATCACCGGTCCATTTAGAAGAGAATCTGATGTCAAAACAAGGTCATACACCACATCAATGACACTTCTCCTTTCTTGTGTCTTTAGTATGTAGAGGAGCCAATTCATGGAGCCTGACCATTTTTGTCAAGTAACACTCTAAGCATGAATGTTCAGCTCTGAGGCTCAAGCAGAGGGATGAAGGCCAAGCTCTCGGAGCATCAGCTCTTGGGCAACCAGATGGACCAGCTCTTGCAAGCCATCGATGTTGATTCAGAGAACATCCTCCAGTTCTCCTTTGATTCCTTCAGGGTCTGGGGTACCTTCCACTGGCCTGGAAGACACCTCCACTGGAGTCTCCTCTCCCTGCCTCCCATTACCTTCCTTGGTCTCTTCATGCGTCAAGTGTTGTTGCTGGCAGTCCTGCTCTGAGTTACTGCGGACATAGCCGGGTAAAGTCACGTGGCTGTCGGGCTGCTGGCCGGCCCTCTTGGTGGCTTTGCCCGAGAGGAGGACCATGCGAGTGCTGGCCGCCATCTGCGAGTGGCTGCTGGTGCTGGGCGTCATGGTGGTGAGCACGGAGCCGTACCTGTGGCCGCCGCAAGGGGGCGTCCGTTTCCAGTCGATGGAGAGATTCCACCGGCTCCACATCTTCTTCACCTCAGACTGCACCTAATCCACAGGGAACCACATTGTGCATGAGAGGGCATCAGGGAGGCCCTGCCGCTTGCTTAGACGAATGTCTGCCCTGATTTCAATGACAGGAATAATCATCCATTAATTAAGGGTCCACTTGTGCCAGGGATTGGCATATATATTCCCTCCGGGTCTCGAAAAACCTTGAAGGCAGGTGTTACTCCTGGAGATGAGCAAACTGAGGCTTCCAGAGAGGTGAAAGGATTTGCCCAAGTTTACTATTTTTATTTTTATATTTTAGTGCATTTTTATTGATTTCAGAGAGGAAGGGAGAGGGAGAGAGAAAGATCCATGATGAGAGAGAATCATTGATTGGCTGTCTCCTGCCAATCACACCCCCTCCTGGGAAGTGAGCCTGCAACCTGGGTATGTGCCCTGGACTGGAATTGAACCCAGGACCCTTCAGTCTGGAGGCCAAGGCTCTATCCACTGAGCCAAACCGGCTAGGGCCAAGGTTAGTATTTTAATGGAGGCTGAAATACAGCCGATAGAAATATCTGACTTGAGGGAGAGGAAAAAGAGGGGGTTGAAGGAGGAAGAGGGATAAATAGTGGCAGCTGTGGCTGAGGAATGGCATGAAAGGGACTCAACCTGAAATGTGCCCTCCACCATCACCTCCAGAGGCAGGCAGCTGAAGGAGGAGAAGGAAAGAGGGCTGCACACTGAAATGCAGGCCTTCTCAACGTAATGGGGCTTGCTTCTGTTCCTTCAGCTGGAGAGTCAATGCCACCGCCAGCGCCCCTTTCTGGGGAAAGCTTATTGGGAATTCCCAGGGAGAATGGACACCTGGGGGGCCGATGTCCCCCAAAAGCACAGCTCAACTCCTGGGCGAACAGACACTGTCCCGCCACCATCTTGTAGTTTTAAAAAGTGTCAAAATGTTCTCATCGGTTTGTCCCAAGAACACGTATCTGAGTTTCTGATAGACCTTGCACTTGATTAATAAGTTTAAGCATTAACTGGAATATGGAGTTCACCATCCTTCCAGGTCTCAATACGCATTCCAGGAAGCTGGTTTTGGATATCAGCGTTTATAACTGAATTGATCTTAGTTTACTGAAGTGAATTCCTGCTTTCTCAAAATAATTTATGATTAAAATACCTCTCCTCCCTGGACCCACTTTGTCCTGTCACTGCCAGGGATCCTAAGGCGCTTTGGGTCCCCTTGGGACAGAGACCAGTGGGACTCGGCCCCCTCCGCACCTACCTCGCCATTGCAGTAGCAGTAGATGATGGACACGAAGAAGCCCTGGGAACAGAAAGCACGTCAGGGCTGAGCGTTCGTGCAGATCACAGCACTAGCACTGTCCAGTGATGCCTTCAGAAAACTCCATACACCATTCCCTCCTGATGCTCCCAAGTCCTTATGTTCACATTACATTTGTCTGAGACCTTCCCGTGGGGTCAGCTGAACCAAGCAAGTAACTGAACAGAACATGCAACGGTACACAAAGAACTGATGTCTATTACGTTAGTTCCATTTATGCCGCCACTCAAGATGCCCGCAGATCCCTGGCTGGTGGGCGATATTTATACACCCTGAGTGCTGGGAACTGCACACAAAGGGTATGTGATGGTAAAAGACCAACTTTTTTTTCAATCCCTTCAAAAATATTCACACGGAGCTTACACAATGCGAAGTGCTCTGCGTGCCAAGGATAAACAGTTTAATCAGGACGGACAAGGTCCCTGTTCCCTGAGGCCTTGCCTTCTAGAAGGAAACGCAGAGGGTGAGACATAAACAGCCACACGAGAAAAGTGGAAGGCGATCAGGGCTGTGCATGCAGAGTAAGTGGTGCCGACAGGGGAGAATGAAGGTGAGTCAGACCAGGAGCTCCTCTCTGAGGAGGTGACACTGAAGCTGCTGGGAGTGACAGGAAGCAGCCAGGCCGGGTGAATAGTTAGAGGGAGAACATTCCAGGCAAAGGCGACAGCAAGTACGAACCCCTGGGGCAGGCTGGGCTGGAGGAACCCTGCCCCGGAGGGCGGTGCCCCCCAGGCAATGGCATTTGAATTTTATGCTGAGTGCGGTAGGAAGCCTCTGGATACTCCTGCCAGATAAGCGACGGGATCCATTTATTTTTGAGGCTCTTCAGACTAGGAGACCAGACTGAAGGCGGCAGGTGCTCACACAGGAAGGCTGGGGAGGCGTGTGCAGTAACCCATGTGACGGGTGATGGTATTACTGTCAAACACGATAGAGAGGATGTGTGCAAGCCACCTCTTCCTCTCTTTTGTCTTCCTTTCCCCCCTCTTCCCCCTTTCTCCCTCTTGTGCTTTCGTTCCTTGTCCCTACCCACGTGGAGGGCCCTGTTACAACCACACCTTCCTACACCGGCCCCCAGGCCTGTCTGTGAGGAGCAGCTCCTCCTCTGGTCCCAGGCTGCCCTGGCCTCCGCAGGACGGGGAAGCACAGGCGCCAGAGGACAGCGCCCTCTAACTGCCCTCGGGAGGCAGGGGCCAGGCAGCCAGAGGGGCAGAGAAAGAGGCTGAGAGGGGTGGAGGTGGGGGAGCAAAATGTTAAGAGCCCAGTCGCTGGAAGGCGCTCTACCTGGAAGGAGTTGAAGAAGAGCTCGCAGTGCATCCGGATCTCCCACCCGAGCCCCGAGAAGGAGTGGGGCAGGCACACGAACACGATGTAATGCACCCCGAAGACCAGCACCAGCACCAGCGTGGATTTGGCGAGTTTCCTGCAAGAGAGTGGAAGCCTTTGGATTACTCAATGTAGAGTGCTTTTCCGTGGAGGCGGCTCGCTGGGGAGATATCAGGCTCAGAGAGCTCACGGGGGCCGGCTTTTCCCATCTCGCTGGAGCCCACAGCTTCTGCTAGCGTTCCCCTCCCTCCTCACCCTGTCGCTTTTACACTAAACCAGACAGTTTGTTCTCACCTCCCATGGTTATTGTCCCCTATTCTTCTTGCTTAAAGAACAGTCTTCAGAAAACAGTTGAAATGTCTTCTCCACGTCCTCCTACCTCGTACCTGAGTCACCTACAGTCCACTCACTCAGAAAAGTCTGCCCTCAGTCCATTTTGTTCAAGGCGACATTCCTCAGAAGATGATGGGTTTCTCTGCCCTAACTGATCCTTCCAACGCTCAGAGGCTCCCTGGGATGAGCTTGTCCTCCTCCTGAATCCTGACTGGCGAGTACCCTCTTTCCATCGCTGCATGTTCAGGCAGGAGACACCGAATACCTCCATGTGGCATTCTCCTGGGGTCTCATCAGACAAAGGGGAGCCTCATGGTCTACATTTGCAGAACTTTGGGAGTCGGGTCTGAAGTCAATCTTAAAGGAAAACTGTGTTTCCTTCTTTCACACAAACGGGTAAATCCCCCTGGAAACTATTTTCCCATCACGCCAACTTTGTTCCTCCTGTGTTCAACCTAGGTTCCTACAAAAAATCAAGAGGAGCGACATGCTGGGAAGTGATCACAAGTGAAAAGGCTTGGGAACAGCCTGGTTCTTGCAGAGGAAGAAAACGTCCAAGACTAAATTTAGTGGCTGTCCTGCTAGTTCAGCCATCTGGGTTTCCTCTCTTTCCGATGGCCAGGCTCATCTGCATCTCTCTGGAGACAAAAGTCCATTTGTAGAAAAACGATGGGAAACAAATTACCCATCGTTAGCAGCTTAACCTGTTTATTCTCTCTCTCCGGAGTCGGGTCCTCTGCTCAGGGGGTGGCAAGGCTGGAGGTGAGGTGTTGGCCAGGACTGCATTCCTACCTGGACCTCAGGGTTCTCTCCTAAGTTCATTCAGCTTTCGAGCAGAGCTCAGTCCCTTGCCGCTGGAGGAATGCTGGTGGGGTTCCTCAGTTCATATAGACTTCCCTCAGGCTGTCCTCAGGGGCTAGCCGTAGGTCCTCATAACATGTCAGATCACTTCCTCGAAGCCAGTGAGAGAGTCTCTCTCTAGGATGCCAGGATGGAGTCTTATATTAAGTGTCCTAATCACAGGACCCAACACCTTGGCCATACAATGTGATCTAATCAAGGGAGAAACCATCCCATCACAGGTCTTGCCCACACTCAAGAAAGAGCATGGCAGTGGGGGTTATACAGGCAAGTAAACCAGGGGAGGCAGGACTCTGGAGGGCTATCTAAGAAATCTCCTGATCATAGCAGTTCAATTAATTCCTGTCCATAGAAATGCAAATTGTGTCCAACGGAATGCCACTAATGATAGCCCTATGGACGTGCACAAGTTTTGCTAGTTTACATCCATTTTTAAATTCATTTAGGCATTCATTATCCTCTTTAAAACGTATGTGCTATCTTACCATTTCCTTCATTAATAAGTTAAATAAAATCTTTGAAATGTATCCACTTATATTTGTGTAAGACTTATGATTACGTCCTCTGAGTTAGAGCAGTGGTGTATCCCAGGTCAGTGCATACATGCGTCATCCATCTGTCTATCCTACATAATAAAAGTGTAGTATGCAAATTGTCCCCTCAACCGGGAGTTCATCCGGGAGTTCGACCAGGGGATAGGGACAGCTGGGGAAATGGAGGGAGGCTCCGGCCAGCTGTGGCAGCAGTAGGTGATTGGGGAGGAGGGTGCCCGCTTCAGCAGACATATACTAAATTTGGAACAAAGCAGAGAAGATTAGCATGGCCCCAGCACAAGGAAAAAGAAAACAAATATATTTGTGGGGGAGTAGCAGGAGAGGGGGTGGGTCACTTAATTTATAGGAAAATCCCAATATGCCAATAATAAAATATATATATATATATATATATATATATATATATATATACACACTCTGAATTTAAGCATATTGAGCAAGTTTTAGGTTATTTATATATCTTTTTTCTGAAAAACCACAAACTGAAACAAACAAAAATACACATTCAAAAATTTATCTTTAGAGACATTTCAGAACACTTGTTATCTTTTCTTTACACTAAATTGTAACCAAAATATTTCCTCTGACGATGCTCCCAGAATTACCTGTATTGCTTTCTTGTGTCATGCCCAACTGCATTGGTCTCCCGAATTTTGGTAGCCAGAACTCTGACCGTATTCAGAAACAGAATAAAATTCAGCTGAAAGAGAAGGTGAGATTACAAAGAATTATTACGTTTGTCTTCAAGCTGTTTACAGAATTTACAGAAATTGAACTTCTTTGTGTTCAAAGACTGAAAATTACAGTGAATGAAAGGATGGAGCCAACTAGCAGGGGATGAAGGAAACAATTGATTCAGAGTTCCTCTTTCTCTTTTCCTTAACTGATGAATTCAAGATCTCATATTTCTGCAAACCCCAAATCCTTTCTCCAACCCTTATAACTGGCATCTTCGAGGCCATCTCCTAAGTACTCATGAGCACGTCTGATCAGTTTCTGTGATTTCATTTTTATTCCGTTGTTTCCATCTCTCTTAGCTGACGCCAGTGTAATGCAGGTCCTCACGTCTCCGGGGGCAGTGCCCTGCTTGGCCAGGACTCACCACACAAATTTCACCGTCACCACGTCTAGACCACGCTGCCCTGCCTGCTGCTCCCCCTGCTCTTCCGGCAAAACGTCCTGCTCCCTCTGCCGAGGCCCTGGAAGGCCCAGAACCAAAACAGAGCTTCGTGTTCTGTTGTAATTAGCAAAGATTCCTCTCATGTTTTGATGTTATATAAGAGAATTTTAAAATCATCCTCAAATCAACATCAAGAAGTTGCAGGTGGATAATTAATAGTCATATTTGAGAGACTGATTTTTCAGAACAAAAAAAGTTAATGTTTTCTAATTCTCATTAACGTAATTTTAACATAATCTGAGCAAAACATAGAGAACAACAGTGCTGAAAGTTTAGATTCTAGGATCCCAAAATCAAGTGGTTCCTTCCATATTTGTACTAACGTCTGTGATTATCTCTAAAATTCAGTTATTAGGACTTATTTCAATTAGAACCTATAAATATTCATCCTTTACAAACTCCTTGACTCTCTTAAATTCATTTTGCTTCATATATTGCTCAGATATTCTGACCACATTTTATCAGATTTTACTCTCAGATATACAAGAATCCAATTAATTAATATGCTACTACCGGTAGAATTTCTAAAGCCAGAATTAACTGAGGGATCCAACTTACATTTAAAATCCCTGGCATACATGGAGGCTATATATTTACATAAAACCATGCTCTAAGCATGTAACACTGAAAAACAAGCCATTGATCCAAAAGTTAACATATAAAAACACTATAAGTATTGCTATAAAGACGGAAAGATAATTTTCCATAAATTCAATAAACAATATTTATTTGTTTATTAATTTACATTGAATCTATTGGGCAAGAAACAATCTTGACATGTTTTGAAATGCAAGTGAAAAAACACCGTCAATAATATATGCTATAGCCCTAGCAGTTTGGCTCAGTGGATAGAGCTTCAGCCTGCAGACCAAAGGGTCCCAGGTTCGGTTCTAGTCAAGGGCAAATACCTTGGTTGCAGGCTCCTCCCCAGCCCAGGCCCTGGTCTGGGCATGCAGGAGGCAACCCAATTGATGTGTTTCTTTCACACTGATGTTTCTCTCTGTCTTTCCCTCTCTCTTCCACTCTCTTTAAAAGATCAATGGAAAAATATGCTATATACCTATTTTGTCACACTAGCCAGGTGACCAGTATCTGTGTGGGCTTCAGTTCCCTTTTCCATGAAAATGAAAAGGTTGCATGAAATGGACTCAGTTCTGTAATTGTACTTGCTTTCTGCAGTTTTTCCCCTGCCTTCCCTCTTACGTTCCCCAGGATATCTAACTTGTATGTCTGTTTTATTTTTTTCGACAAGTATTTACTGAGTGACCACTATTTGCCAGGAAACTCACTAGGCACTAGGAATACACTTTAGAAAATATATGGTTTTTGTTCACTTAATCTTGCAATGTGATGGGCATGCAACAAACAACCAGAAGCATTATACACTGTGATGATCTTGAGAAGGGAAAACCTGATCGTACTCCACAGGTTATGCTAGGCGGCTCAGTGACTAAGCATTGACCTATGAACCTGGAGGCCACAGTTCAATTCCCAGTCAAGCCACATGCCTGGGTTGTGGGCTTGATCCCCAGTGTGGGGCGTGCAGGAAGCAGCTGATCAGTTATTCTCTCTTATGGTTCATGTTTCTGTCTCTCCCTCTCTCTTCCTCTCTGAAATCAATAAAAATGTTAAAAAATGAATAAGTAAAAGAAGTAGAGAAGGAAGCTCATCTCAGCCTTGTAGGGGTACAGTGTAGAATGAAATGGACAGAGTGGACAAGTTCAAGGAACTGAGAGGAAGACAGGGTCGCTGGGGCATACCTGCAGGTAGGAGTGACAGGATATCTGTTCCTAGAGTCTCAGGGATTTAGATTATAAGTGCAGAAGCCCTAATTGGTTTGTCCCAATGGATAGAGTGTCGGCCTATGGACTGAAGGGTCCCAAGTTTAATTCCGGTCAGGGCATGTACCTTGGTTGTGGACACATCCCCAGTAGGGGTTATGCCAGAGGCAGCTGATTGATGTTTCTCTCTCATTGATGTTTCTAACTCTCTATCCTTCTCCCTTTCTCTCTGTAAAAAAATCAATAAAAAATATTTTAAAAAACAATAATAAGTACAGGAGCTCACAGAGACAGTGACCCTGAAGTCAGAATCCCAGCTCCACCACTTGCTAGCTGCATGACCTTGGGCAGTGTCCTCATTTGGAGTGACGGGAAGGATTAGAAAAATTGGCACAGCAAAGCGCTGAAAGCAGTGCCCAGCAGGGGTAAGCATTGTGCAGTGTTTTTAGCACCAGCATCATCCTTCCTGGCTTCGGGACACGAGCAGCCCCAGGCAGGCGCTCCGCCGTCAGAGTGCGGACACAGATGGGGTCCTGGGCTCGTGTCCCCCCTTACAGGCTGGCTCTACAGTAAAATGAAGGAACCGAAGGAACTGTGATAACCCTGACCTGTAATAATGCGACAGAAAGGTAACACTCAGTGAGTAGAAAGGTGCTCTGAAATCTCTTCTCTGCTTTTTGAAATTAAATGGACTTTGTAATATTGGAAAGACACTTAAGAATTCTTGCATTAGGACTGTCATAATTATAGTTCAAGAAGATGCAAATGGCCTTTCCTGCCTAAGTCTCCTTCCAGAATCCTTGAGTGCTCCATCGTCTGTACCTGTTCTTCACCAATGGTGAATCTTCTAGACCCTCCCTCACCACCTTACTGTTTCACTTTGCAAGTTAGACATCTCAGCAGATAAATTCCTCAGTGTCAGCCACCAATAAGGGTCTGACCCCCAGCCCAGACTCTCCCAACAGCGACTGCTGTACGGTGACAGTTTCCTTAATCTTCCTAGAACAGCGACAGACTTTCTCTGGGTTTTAGCAGCAGCTTAATTCTGCATCTTTTTTTTTTCTTCTTCTTCTTCTTTTTTTAATCTATCCAAGCTTTTAAACTTACTCCGATGGCTGCTAAGATAGGGGCTTGGTAAATCCACTTCATGTCTCCAGCACTCAGTTCCCAGCACCTGAGGCAGAAGAAAAAAAAAAAAAAAGCTTTCGTAAACAAACTGGAAAACAAACAGGCAGTGAGAATTAAGTAGTATTTTAAGTTTTACAAAGAACTCCAGTCCCAAGCATTGAAGACAAAAAGAAAAAAAAAATCATAAAATACCCAAACCAGTGGTGGAAAAAATATAATGTGTCCTGGTTTCCACACCATTAGCTATAGAGTATTATAAATATCGATGAATTATTCGTATAGTAACAAGAGTCAAAACCATGTTTCCTGAGCCACATAAAAATTAGTCTTCTAAATGTGGTGCGACTAGTACTTTACTTTTATTATTATTACTGGAACTGATGCTTTTGTTTTACAAGCAATTCAATTTTATAACTTCACAGCTTGTAGAACTCTGATAATAATGAAAATCAACCTTATCCATAGGAATGCAGTAGAAAACCTGCAATATTACACATGGTTCTTATTGATACGAATGTAATTTAAAAAAACTGAATACAAATACTTTTTGTCCACAGAAATGAAAATTTTAGCTATGTGCAGTGACATATAATTGATTAGTGTCCCGACCTGGCCTTTCTTTTTTTTTAATATATTTTTATTGATTTTGTACAGAGAGGAAGGGAGAGAGATAGAGCTAGAAACATCGATGAGAGAGAGTCATCGATCAGCTGTCTCTTGCACACCCCCTACTGGGGATATGCCCGTAACCAAGGTACATGCCCTTGACCGGAATCGAACCAGGGACCTTTCAGTCCACAGGCCAACGCTCTATCCACTGAGCCAAACTGGTGTCGGCCGTTTACCCCTTCTTTCCCACTCACCTTGCATCAGCCATGGTTGCTCTTGCCACAGCCCAGCCTGCAACAAACACTGCAGGGAACCCTGCAATCAGAAGAGAACTCAGAGACCATGTTGTTGTTTTTTAAGATTAAGAGATTTTTTTTCTTATATTCATCACACATAAAAATGTACTATTAAACTGAAGAGAGGGAAAACAGGCATGGAAACATGTTACTATGTGAACAAGGAAAGTTCTCATTTGCATGTTGTCCATTTGAGAAGTGAGCCAATCCAGGGAGGTGACGCGCTCCCAAAAGTCTGAGGATGAACGAAGGTTGGCCCAATTTTCATTTGAGAGATGTGAATGTGAGATCAAGCTCTCCTGGGAGTGGACTGAAGTTCCTGGGGCCAGAAGCAGGCCGTGGTTGGTGCATTTTGAATATAACACATATTATCAGAACAGGCAAACAAAATACAACATAAACTAAAGGGTCACACTGTGTGCTTCCTACGTGTGGTATCCCTACACATATCTCCATATTTCAATTGTACTTCCTGCCAAATGGATGATCAAATAATGTTGACTGGATTGAAGTCACGTTACACAGAAATAATGAAACCGGATATGTAGTGCCTCCTCCTGATTGTTTTCAGAGAATACAGAACATGAAAATATTCTACCTACAAGCCTGACAATGGGAACATGTGTACACAGGATAACCGGGAAAGGTACTTTTACATGATATGTACATTCTGACAATTCATCTTGACAGCTGAAAATTAAGAATGGCTGCTGATATAGAGGTAAATTACACTTAATAAGGATAAAGAAACAAGACTAACAACACCTTTTAAGTGTAGAATTAACTATATTTTTTAAATGTGTGGTTGAAAGAACAAAATGGAACCAAGTATAAAGTGCCACATTTATGAGGAAACTGAGTCAGAGGTGGGAAACATGAAGAATGAGGTTGGCTGAAAGAAGAAAAAAACAAAACATAGTTATCAGTATTTGCCTTTACTCCTCTCTATACCTTGTTTTGTAATAACGATGTGTAAAAACAGTCGTTTTAAATATTTGCCTTCAATTTACTAAAGGTCCGACAGCGGCATCTGCTCCTCTTTAGGTTGTCACTTCCTTCCCTCCCAACTGATTGTTAAAAATCAGCAAAATGGATATAAGTGATGTAACTCCACACCCCGCTGAGGAGAGCTGAAAGCTATAATGATTGGTTCCAAATGAATAACAAAGGAATCCAAGCAAGCTCTCTTCCCCGGTGAAGCCAACAAATCAGCTCATCGAAAGAAAGGAGGAAGCTGGGCTCGCTGTGAATTATTCTAGCAAATGATCCTGGCAAGGCAACTGCAATGTTTTTTATCATTATTTTCCTCATAGGAATTTGGAAAAATGATAAGAAATAAAAATGTTTTAAAATCAGATTCTCTGTGTTGAAACGAGGGGGGAAAAGTCTACTAAACAAATAGCTATTGACTTTGATAAATACTATGTTTGAGTAGTAGAGAGAGATTCTTCAAAGAATATCACTGTTCTTTTAACTGTAAATGCCCTAAGCTAGAGCATTTACTTGTTTGAAAAATAGAGTTCAAAAGAGAGGGAGTCAGAAGATAGACCAACTCTAGAATAATAATGCTATAAAGACTGGTTATTAGTGTTTTTAAATTATGGTTGAATGAGCACGTATTTCACATAAAAATTATTTTTCAAAGTGACTTTTCATATAAATCCTACTTGCTGTCATGTATGCTTTTAAATGATTTGATAAAACAAGTTCAAGGAATGATGCTTACCTACTGTAGCTATCATTCCTATGCCAAAATTTTTGTGGACAAATTAATTAAAGTTGTAAAAAAAAAAAAAAAGTGTAAGAAACTCATACTCGCATAGAAGCTCACTGAAAATTCTCTTTTTCATAGAAAGACTTAACTCGTTTCCTGGCTTTCAGTGAAGCAAAGTCCTGACTATAAGGAAGGACAGACTTGACTGATATAGCACAAATAAGAGTTGATGGGGAAGTTAGCGATCAAACCAATAAGTAAATAGAGGAAAAAGAATTTATTACAAGTGTGACCAGTGCTGTAGAAATCCAAAAAGAAAAAGAAACTAATTCAGACAAATGCCTACACTTATTGTTAAATTTGCTATTAATAACCAATCTTTGCCGACATCTAGTAATTATGTCGGTACACAGATATAATTTTGACTTGAAGTCAAACTACCAAAAGCTGTCCAAAAAATTTCAAAGTACCCTGAAAAAATGCAATCCCCCCCCCCCCCCCCCCCCCCCCCCCCCGCCCAGTAACTGCTAGTTAAAGAGATGGGAGAGCCTTTAAGCTGACAAGCTCCCTTCCGAAATAAAACTTTATTCATGACAATCATTATTTCAGAATAAATGAAGTGTTATAGTAAGTTGACCCTTTGTCTTCTTTTTAATATATTTTTATTGATTTCAGAAAGGGAGAGGGAAAGATAGAAAGGAAGAGATAGAGATGATTTGCTGCCTCCTGCATACCCCACTCTGGGGATTGAGCCCAAAACTCTGGTATGCGCCCTGACCGGGAATAGAACCGTGACCTCCTGCTTCATAGGTCTATGTTCAACCACTGAACCACACTGGCCAGGTGACCCTTTGTCTTCTTAAAGGTTATTAACTAACTAGAAGGAAATTCAATATTCCTCACTTCGCATTTTCTAATGTTAAAACAATTTTAAGGCAAAATAGGCCAAGAAATATTCAAATTTTGGAAGGGGGAAAAAAAATCTTCAAATTTGATTTTGAGCCACCTACTTCATTTTTTTCCTATGCTGAGCACTTCATATTTTAAATGTTAAAATAGCAATTGCAATACGCAATTGTTCATCTTAAAACTTTCATCATTAACCACAGGTGAGTTTTAAGTTCTCTTTAATTTTAACCAACATCCTTTTCTCCAGTCATGTTGCATTAGTCCCTCATCCAAAAATCCCTCTTGTCTGATGAGGCAGTTTTGAAATGTGAGCTGAATTATTTCCATCTAAAAGATAAGGTCAATCTACATAATTAGTTTGTAGTTTGTATTGTTACACGCAGTCAAGATAATCTTATAAATTCCTTTCTGGCATTTTCATCATACAACCTAGAAACACAAGTCAATGATGAACCATTATAGCTTAAAATTAAAAAAATTAAAAATTTGAGGATGAAACCATTGCTAACTCAGGACACTGAATAAGCTGTGAACGGAGCAGTTGTCATTGTACATGGCTAACAAGGTGGTTCCCTTATGGTTCCACCAAAAAATCCTCTCAAGAATGTGGCCTAAGAACACTAGCCATCCACTAAGGTTGGTGCCACCGAGAGGATTACAGACATGAACAATGAAAGAGAAAGAAAGATTATTTCAGGAAAATCGCTGAAAGAATGTTAAGGATAGGCATGACAGAAAGTTCTGAAGTCCATCATGCAGGTTAAAAGAAAAAGAGTCATTTCCTTACCCCAGCCTATCAAGGTGAAGCCCCATAGGTATTTGGTGTCGGAAAAGAAAGCCACAAAGATTAGACTGTGCAGGTAGAGACCTTCCACCAAGATCCAATAGTAGTTTGTAGCCAAGAAGTAAATAAACAGCACAACAGCAATCTTGCACCCAATCTGTCACAAATAAACCAGAATTGCATCAGATTAGAACTCCTAATTGCATCGAATGCCAATATTAGACGACTGAAAAGCAATTATTCATTTTTCTTTTTATAATCTACTAGAGGCCCGGTATATGAGATTCATGAACTGGGGGGACGGGGGGAGTAGAGGGGAAAGGTGGGGGGGAGGCATCCCTCAGCCCAGCCTGCAACCCAGGCTGGTAATCGGACATCCTTAGCACTGCGCCTGAGGCGGGAGAGGCTCCCACCACCTCCACTGTGCTTGCCATGAGCCTGGCTTCTAACTGAGCTGCACTCCCCCTATGGGAGCGCACTGACCACCAGGGGCAGCTTCTGCATTGAGTGTATGCCCCCTGGTGGTCAGTGCTTGTCATAGCGATCAGTCGGTCCGTTGGGTCAATTTGCATATTAGCCTTTTATTATATAGGATGTCTCTTGTACATAGGAAGGCCAAAGCTTTTGAAAGAGACTGGAAAAAAATTATTTTAACATAGCATTTTTAAGATTATAGGTTTGATTATCTATTATTCTACCATAAATGTATTTATTTTCTGGTCTTTTTCTTTCTTTCTTCTTTTTTTTTTTTTTAATGCCCCAAAAGCTAATGTCTTAAAACAATAAACATTTAAAACATCTTATGAATCTAGGTGATTCTGCTGATCTGTGCCAGGCTCAGCTGATCTTGGTTGACTAGGCTTGTGCATACAGGTCTGCCCTCAGGTGGCACACTATCACATCTACTTCCTTCTATTATATAAAACAAGTCACAAAGCCAGTCTAGAATCAGAAGCAGCATGGAATACAAAGCTACAAGGCAAAGAGCAAAGACACAGATAAGTCATTAATTCACATCAATTAACTATACCTCATTTCCAAATATGTTGCTTTAAGGATCTAATTACCGTATTTTTCGGACCACTAGACGCTCCGGACCATAAGACGCACCAGTTTTTAGAGAAGGGAAATGAAGAAAAAAAGATTCTGAAACAAATAGTGTCCTAAAATATTTTATGTGCATTAAAACCCAACATCACAGTCATAAACACATGTAATCAACCCTGTAAAGTAAACAGTAGCATTTAGAACCATTTTAGAGCCGGGCAAGCACACAGAGACCACACAGAGCCGGGCAAATAAAAAAACTTTTTTTTTAAAGTATATGTGTAGGCTATATTTGGACCTTAAGATGCAGGGACTTTTTCCCCCCACTTCTGGGGGGAAAAAAGTGCGTCTTATGGTCCGAAAAATACGGTAACTGAAATATAGGGTGATCCTATTTAATAAGTAACACGAGGACATTTAACAGCAGAATCAAGTACCATGGAAGTCAGTTTGAGTCTACAATAGAGGAACTGAATATCATGGGCTTTTACGTTCTAAACTTCTGGGTTTGCAAGTGGGTTTTTTATTTTTGCGAGTGGTGACAGCTGCTACGGGTCATACATTAAGTGCCATTCTGATCATGTGTTTGTTGCACTTTCTGTCCCAGAATACTCTTGAATGAATAATTAGGCATGAGAGTTGAGGACAGAATTGAGATAGGAAGCATCAGTACACAAATTGGTCATCTATTTCAGGAAGTCCACAGATAAGACAAGCCAAAACAATATAACACACATTTAGCGGGCTGTAGTGTTTTACTTATGTACTGAGAGGAAATGGTGAGAACACTTACATATTGTGATTTGCCCATGGAAGGCGCAGCCATGAAATTCTGGAGGTCATCCTGCATCATCAGCGACTGCAGCTCCTTGACCCCCATGTGAGCATGGACCACTCTGTCCTTGATGAAGATGCTTGCAGCTCTCAGCATGAAAGATGCAAATAAGTGCAGGTGGATATAGTTCCTAGTGCAGTGCAATCGCCTATGGAGAGAAAATAATCAGTTATAGATTTGGATGAGAACAGAAAGGGGCAAAGAAAATACACAAGCTTGCCCAAGCTCCTCCCCAGAACAGAGGAAAATATAATAAACCTGAACAAAGACAGAAGCCCATTCTCATATATTTCCAATGGAAACAACTGGGATCAAAAACTAAAATGTAACTTTTTGAGAATTAATTTCAAATGAATCCTTAACTGCTACCATGATCATCCAGATTTTGCAGTGTTAAATATTGTAGTATACTAAATTATACCAGAGAATTCTATCATATTGTATATTGAAGTAATAAATGGTTAATGGAGAACCACTGAACAGAGATAAACATTATCAAAACTGGAAGTTCCACATTTCAATACTTTCTCCGTAAGAAAATGTAAGATTGTGATAGTGTTCCACAATTTTATTTTCTAGACATGTTGGAGAGGAAACAATCTCATCCTAACTAATAAAAGAGAAACATGCAAATTGACCATACCTTCGCTATGCCTACAAGCCACACCCACCAGCCAATCAGGATGTGTATGCAAATTAACCCCATCAAGATGACGGTTAATTTGCATACCCAGGTCAGAGCAAGGTTACTGAAGGCAGCATAGAAAGAAGCCAAGCGCTGCAGAAGGGATTGAAGCTGTGGAGAAGCGAGAGGGGCAAGGGAGAAGGGAAGGAAGCAGGTGGGCCAGGGAGAAAGGGGGGAAGCAGGCAGGGCAGCGACCGTGGCAGGAAGCCCTATTGCAGGAATCTTCCTGCAATGGGCCTCTAGTTTTAACATAAAAATCTTCGGGATTACAAAAGGATCATAGACACAAATTAATCAGTAACATGCTTAGTATTTTAGATATTATCACACTAATTTCCAATGCAGAAAGCTAACTCCAAAAAGAGTTTTTCTTCAAGTGTGATGAAAAGAAAAAGAAAAAAAAACTCAGGAAAACTGTGGTATGATCTGGTCAAAAAGGCTCAGCTCTCCTATTGCTTGACGGTAAGAAAACACAGCTTTCCTGTGTAATAAACACACTAATACTACTTCTCTTCCAGAGACAAAATACCCAAGTGTAAGGGGGTAAGAACATTTGTAATCCAATGATCTCTTTTGCTGTTTTTTAACAGAGGATGGGAAGGTCAAATAAGAACAAACTAAATTTAGCCCAGCATGGCTCAGTGGTTGAGCATCAGCCTAGGAACCAGGAGGTCAGGATTCAATTCCCAGTCAGGGCACAGGCCTGGGTTTCAGGCTTGATCCCCAGTAGGGGGCATGCAGGAGGCAGCCGATAATTATTCTCTATCATCATTGATGTTTCTATCTCTCTCTCTCCCTTCCTCTCTGAAACCAATAAAAATATATTTAAAGAAAAAGGAATGAGCTAAATTTAGATATTACAATATTAATGTGCTATTTATGTCCATTGTGCCCAGATGGTCCTCTCAGGTTGACTCTTCACAGGTGAGCAGTATTTGGCCAAGTGTACATGGCAACTATTTCCATCCCAGTCTATAAGTAGGTTTTGATTATTGAGACTCAACACTATTTGCTCTCCTAATAAAGGAGTATTTCGTTTTGTGAAACAGAAGAGTTTCTGAAATTTGTACGTAATATTTTCTGTATAGTACAGCAATCTAAAATAATAAAAGCGTAGTATGCTAATTAGACCAGATGTCCTTCCAGACAACCTTCTGGATGAAGCTGGGGCTACGAGGAAAGCCTTTGTCCCAGTTGCCTGCCAGCGACTAGAAGGAAGCCCAGGTCCCAGGCGCCAGAGGGAAGCCGGTGAAGGAAGCCTGGGGGGGGAAGGAAGGCCTACTCTTGTACAAATTTCGTTCATCGGGCCTCTAGTTATATATAAAATAATTATATAGAAAGAATCCACTGTTAAACCAAACCATGAATTTCTCATAAAAATAAATTGTCAGAGTCAAGTCATATAATAACACTAGGGTGAATTCAGAAACTTGTGTTAGGAAAAGTATTTGGGGACACAAATTGTGAGACCTCCGTGTCTTCGATGGATAATAATGAGAATGGGAATCGCTCACCTGAAGTAACCAATAATGAGAATAGCCACAACCAGGGAGCCGAAGGAGATGGAGTATCCCACAGTGTACATGACATACAGGCGTTCAAAGAATTCTTGCTGCAGAGGGAGAGATTTAATTAGAAAAGTAGGTTTGAAAAAATCATGCTTTCACCTGTTTAGAGGGAGCCAATGTGTTATCAAATTCCTAAAATACTATAGATTATCCTTCTGGTCCCCTCTTATGTCTTAAATTCAAGTCAGGGTTAAAGATGTGAGAACAATATCTGTCATTTCTTATTGCTTAAGTGAGGTCAAACTGAATGTTGCAATATTTCCTTCTTATATTTTTGTACTGTTCATTTTCACTAACTAGAATTGTATATCTGAAGTAAATAAAATGGTATATGAAGTAAACAAAACACATGTTACAAGACTATTTTAAGAGGAAACTGGTAAAAAAAAGAATATGTAATTTTTTGGAATGTTATTTCTAGCTTTCTTTAACTTTCTTATTGAGCAGTAATTTACATGAACTAAAATGTAAAAGCCTTTAAAAAAAAGCAAGAAGGGTTTTGACAAACCAAGTTCATTGTGACCCCTGCAAGTCAAAAATCACCCACCATCAACCCCCAGCTAACTTCTGTTCCAATTTCTGGCACCATAAATTGCTTATCTATTCATGTATTTCACATACTTTTTGACTGTTCATGGAGTCCTTAGAATTAATAGCATATACCATTTTCATCAACATACTGCTTAGATAAGTGGTATTGCATGAATCAATGATTCATTCCTTTTTAATCTTTTATTTTTTTAAAAAAAATTATAAATTCAAAAGAAGTGGAAACAATAGTAAGAAAGGTCAAATATACCTTTTACCCAGAATCCTCCAGGGGTTACATCTAACATAATTAGACCAAAATACCAACACCAGGAATTTGACGTTGGTGCAACTTGTGTGTACATAGCTCTATGTCATTTTAACACGCATGTAAATTTCAATGACCATCAGTGCAATCACGACAGTAAACTATTCCATCACCACAGAGATCTCCCTCGTGCTGTCCCTTTACTGTCAGACCTACCCTCCTCCTCCTCACCGTCCGAACACCTGGCAACCATTCATCTATTTCCTAGCTCTATAATTTTGTCATCACGCACGTTACACGTGAGGTCTGAGTAATAGGAGTTTAAGCATGACTTTTTGAAAGTATATTTTTATTTATTTTAGAGAGAGGGGAAGGGAGAGGAATAGAAAGATAGAAACATCGACTGGAAAGAACAGCAATTTGCTGCCTCCTGCGCGCCCTCTAGTGGGGATTGAGTCCGCAACCCAGGCATGTGTGTCCTGACCAGGAATCAAACCATGACCTCCTGGTTCATGGGTCCACGCTCAACCACTGAGCCACCCAGGTTGGGCTAAGCATGACTTGTAAAGCAGCATGTATAACTTAAAAGTAACTACCGTACCTACAAGTTTCAAAGTTTTCATACAATTACTGCCCTAGAAACAGCACTGATGAGGGATTTGCGGATCAGGGCTCTGCTTTAGGCCTGCCACCAGTGAGCTGTGTCACTCTGGCCAACACTGCATGTCTGGTTCTGTGTAAAATTTGGTATTATGCTGAAAGACCTATAGGATGCCCCAAGCCTCCTTAATTCCACAACTCTAATCTTTCACATACTAATGAATCAAACACTGGTAAATCTTAGGAAATGGGAAATACTTATCTCTAACATACAAAGCTCCTCCTGGAATACAGAGCGAGATGAGATGCAGCCATTTACAGGTAATCAAGAGAAATCATGCATCGTGTCCCTGATTACCTCTTTAAATCTTTATACATAATGTAATGTAAACATCATGTAATGAAACAATACACACCGAGACACATATATATAAGCATATCTGTATGTCTCAGCCAAGTAGCTCTAACCTAAAGAAAATACTTTTCCTTAACCAGGTATCTGAAAAGATGACAACCTTGTTTTTATCTTTTATGATCTTTGTTGTCTTAGGAATAAAAGGGTTTTTCCATATAATGGTTGACAATCAAAAACGGCATAAAAATCGTTATTCTGTTTTCCCTTAGGGGTTCACAAAAAAAAATAAAATAAAAAATTACCACTACCTTCCCTAGGCTGACATCTGGCTGAAGGAAGCGAAGGCAATCTGAATAATTCGCCCAGGTTTTGTTTAAACTGTGTACAAAATCCCACGTTCCATTGGGGCCACAGCGTCGCAGAGCCACTCCTGTAAAGACACGAAGAGAAACAGTGAAAGTGCTCAGGTCTCTTTGAGTCCATTACAAACATAAAAATAAAAATAAATGGTAAATTTTGTTCCAAACTACCCACTTCAGAAAAACCCCATACCTTTATGATTGAAGTCATAAATATAAGGAGGGCAGGGGACAGCCAATATTTTCCCCACTGTTCCTCTGGGCCAACAAATGAGTCCATCCCATTCTGGAAAACAATTTCCCTCTGATGAAAAAGGAAATTAAAAGTCACACATACAAAAATGCCGTGAGAACCAGAGAGTAAACGCATCCAAAATACAAAATTCCAAGCCACTGCCTGAGCAAAAAATAAAAAGAACTGATAATTTTGGAAACTAGAATGAGGTAGATAGGGTGCAAATATCCCAAAATTCATCCACTTAGCCTCATTGGGGCCATTGATAAGAACATTTAATTTGCATATATTAAAAATATTTTTATTATGCCAATATTAATGAGTTATAGCATCTACACCAATAAAAGAGAAAGATGCAAATTGGCTGTACCTTCATGATACCCTCCAGCCAATCAGGAGTGAGTATGCAAATTAGCCCAACAAAGCTGTCGGGTTAATTTGCATATGCAGGCACTAAGCAGGTAGGGGCAGGGCGACGACCCAGGTGTTCTGCTCACCCCCCCAGCCACTCAGGGCCTCTGGGCAGCATGCGAAGGAGTCGCCAGAGCAGAAAGAGGCAGCTCCGGGGTGGGGGGGAAAGGCAGTGCTGACAGCCAGGGAAAGGAAGGCCCACTCTTGCACAAATCTTTGCACATCGGGCTTCCAGTATAATATATGAGGAACATTAGAATTCATTGTGAACTTCAGAAGTAAAATTCTTCCAACCAGCGTAGTTGTAGCTATATTTCTTACCCTAGATTTTTTTTTAATTGCTATTAAAAATATAACCTATGAAATAGATTGAACTTCAGAGGTATACTCCAAGATTTGGGTTTGCCTTTACCAATCAGTGCCTTTACACTCATCTCAAACAAAATCCTCACAAGCTCTACTCTTCCCGAGATGCATCCAGAACCCTCTCACTTCGCAGACCTCCATGGCCACCAGCATGACCACGCCCTTGGTCTCTGGCGGGATCTGCCCTCCCCTCTAACTTATCTTCCCGAACTCAATTCCCGCTAAAGGCTCCCCCAACCCCCTATCTCTTCCAGGAACTCAACCAATTCTCCCCAAAGAGCCACAAGGCTCATTCCCTCACCTACAGCCTTTTACCCAAACTTCAACTTCAGAGTCAACTTTCCCATTTGAAATTACTTCCCAACACACTCTTTATCGCCTCCCCTGGTGTCTTTTTCACCTTCCAATGTTGTTATTTGATTATTGTTTTCTTGAATGGCAGGGTAGATGATTTTGTCTGTGTTGTTTCATGCATTCACCATCCAGCAAGTGACAGGGACTGAACATTCAGTCAGAGTCAGGACTATTTTTTTTTAATATATTTTATTGATTTTTTACAGAGAGGAAGAGATCAAGATAGAGGGCTAGAAAAACATCGATGAGAGAGAAACATCGACCAGCTGCCTCCTGCACACCCCCCACTGGGGATGTACCCACGACCAATGTACATGCCCCTGACCAGAATCGAACCTGGGACCTTTCAGTCCACAGACTGACGCTCTACCACTGAGCCAAACCAGCTTCGGTAGGGTGAGTACTATTTTCAGGGCCTCTCCTAGCTGTGCGTTGAGCTGCTAAGAAGAAAGCCTATCAGCCATGTCAGACCCTGACTTCCCCAAAAGAGACCAAGTTCACCAGTGCTGTTTTCATTTTCTATCGCCGCCTTCACAAATTACCACATCTTTAGTGTTTTCAAATGACCCAGGCTTGTTATCTCACTGTGTCTACCTCAGGCGTCCAGCCAGCTTGGCCGGATCTCTGCTTTCTATCCACATGGCCAAAGTCAAGGTCTGGGCAGGGCCGCATCCCTTTCAGGGGGCTTTGGGGGAAAAGCTGTCTCCTCGCTCACGTCCATGGTCAGCAGAATTAGTTCCTTGCAGGCGGAGGACGGAGGTCCCTGTTTCCTTGCTGGCTGTCAGCTGAGGGCTCTTCCCAGTTTCGAGCGGCCACTTGCATTTCTTAGCTCATGATCCCCTTCATCCATCTTCAAAGTGAGCAAAGCAGGCTGGGTCCTCGTCACAGTTCAGGTCTCTCCTCTTCTGTGACCCTCCTGCCTTCCTTGGTCACTTTTAAGGTCTCCTGTGGGTACCGTGGGTCCATCCAAACAACCCAAACAATCCAGGATAGCCTCCCTGTTTTAGGGCCCAAAATCTTAATTCCACCTGCATTGCTCCTTTCTCATGACGTATACAGGCCCAACACCAGGTACTGGGGAGTGGCCACCTTTGGGGGTGCTAGCCATGACAGCTCTCCATGTTTTAGTTATCAATTACTAACTCTGGCTGGGGATGTGTGTTCTCACTGACGTTCATGATGTCGTTTGTTCGGTTTTGGATGGTCAGCACAATAGAACCTCACACCAACGTCTGATCTCCACATAAAGGACTCCAGCATAAACCTGAAATGAACGTCTTGTGTCCACCACATCACACGGGAACAAACCTGTGACCTGCTGTGTGAATGGCTGAAGCAGTGAAAAATAAATACAACGTCTCCCTCGCCCCCACGGTTCTCATGAAGAGAGCCTTTTCCTGGAAGCAGCCTCCCTTTGTCCACAAAAGAAGCCTGGGCTCTCACTATCACACACACACACACACACACACACACCCGGCGCTCAGCACTCTAGCTTCAGCTTCTGAGGCGTACCTGCCTCCTCCACCACTGCCTGCTGTGTGTTTGTTTTCTCATTTACACCATCAGCTCCGCCCTAAACGCTCTTCTTTATCTCGATAGCATCCACCTGGCTTCCCGTCCCTTCACAGCGTCTAACAAACCATGCATGCTTATTCCTCTGCACTGTCCAGCCCTCTATCAGGAAGATACCTATCCTGCAATCTGTAAAAACTGAAGCTGAAAATACACTTGTGTTCTTGTAGCAAGTGGCCCCTCTAAAATGTAGGCAGCAATGCCCTATGTTTCACCTCTTCACACATGTTAGGTGGTAGAAGTTTAAATCTAGCGTATTTACTCTTTGTATGTGTCACTCCTGTAGTGTGTGACCGATTCACACCGGCTGGCCTTTAACTGTCCTCTTTCCCTCTGCCAGGAATGCCTTTTACTTCCTCCTCTGCACATCTAATTCCTGTTTCTTTCATATTCCTTCCATCCCTCCCCAATGGGTTAAGCTGCCTTTCCAGGGATTCCCAGCTTTCTTGCCTCTGTGGTTAATAACACCATACCAAACAGTATCACTGACTCCAGGGGTAAAGTGCCAGGGCAAGATTCTGAGGGACACAGACACCAGAAGGAACTGGATTGTCTGGCATCGGGGCAGGAACTCGGGGGCAGCTTTCTCCCAAATGGAGTTGCTCACAGGGATCATTGTTCCTATGCTGGGACCTCCCCGTCCTAAAACTGACTGGCAACCATTTCCTTTTGATCCGCCCTGATGATTCCCTAAGACCACGCCTCATCCAATTTACAACACCACCCAAGCTGTGTGCAGCAGCTTTTGCATAGCAATGGCCTGTCCTTGCTCAAAACAAGCTGTAGCTGGGTCAGGGAAGTCAAAACCTATCAATAAAAGGCCCAAGACCTGGCACCAGCACCAGCCTGCCTTGCTTCACAGCTGGGCCTCATCCGGGCACTTCAAAATCCCATACAAAGCGGAGGAATCTGCAAATCTCTCTGTAGCTCCTGCTCAGTGGCTCCAGGCAGTGGCTGACTTTGCACCTCCCTGGACACCCAAGAGCCAGTGTACCCAGTGGTCAGTGCCAGACCATACCAGATTACAACTCTACACATCCATAAGTGACACGCTCAAGAGGCAGACTCCGTGAGCACCAAAGCCCCACTGAAGCAAGTCCTGCTCCATAGGGGTGTCTCCTGCACAGCAGCTCTCACACTGTAGTCTCAGCTGGTCCCCACAGCCAGTTGGCCTGGAGGTCAATCCTCCCAGTGACACCCACAGCTATCAAGTCTCAACTACAACAAGACTGTGCTCACAGCCCACAAAAGGGTGCACCCAGACTGCCACTGGGCGCTATAGGACTCCCACCTCACAAGGCCACTCTACCAACTCAAGGAGACATTAGCAGCTCTAACCAAGACATGGAAACAAACGCAGGGAAGCGGCTAAAATGCTGAGACAAAGAAACAAGTGCAGTAGTCGATATCCCCAAACTCACCTATCAGTTACTCCGCCCACAGGGAGGGGAAAGCTAGCGGGTTAAAGAGGTGAAAAGAGCCTTATTCTGCCACTCAGTCCTCCATGTGGGAACAGAATGGCCAAGGAGGGTCTCCTGGTATTAAGTACGGGGAATTTGCAGTCTTGGTAAGGACTGGGGTAGGGCCGAGAGGAGGACACGGTTTTCTCAGCATCGTTACCTCCTTCCTGGAGCTGAGCTGTGATGTTGAGTTCACACTCTGCTTTAGCTCTCAGCACGAGGACAATCTGCTCCTCCATAGTAACGGTGCCACCGGAATCCATCTGCGGAAATGAACAAAACATAAACAGTGGAAAACATTCCCATAATCCTTTGTTAAGCCATGGTACAAACTTGCACTATTTTACCTTCTAATATAATCAAAAATGAAAGGTTTGATATCAAGCTATTTGAAATAGTCCTTTATCCGAATCAAAATCTAATATCCATCAATGTATAAGATTTTAGGATAATCTTACTTTTACCTGATTTGCCTAAAGAAAAAAATCCCATAATAGGACATTTTTAATATAACTAGGTAATATGTGTGATATAATTAGAAAAAAATAACAAACAGATGGTAAATTTTCTGCAGTATTTCATCAATTCTCCTGCAGTGTGTCAGTTACGGCACACAGAAAGACAATGGCTCAGTGGTTGATGTTCGACCTATGAACCAAGAGGTCAGGGTCTGATGCCCAGTCAGGACACATGCCTAGGCTGTGGGCTAGATCCCAGTGTAGGAGGCAGCCGATCAATGATTCTCTCTCATCATTGATGTTTCTGTCTCTCTCTCCCTCTCCCTTCCTCTCTGAAATCAATAAAAAAAAAAAATAGGAAAGACAATGGACTAGATGACTAAATTTAGTCTACTGAAAAATTACTGGGAAATCACTGGCTCAAAAGAGAGCCTCTAATGAGACTGCAGTGAAGACATCAGCCATAGATGTTGTCACCTGAAGATTTCACTGGGACCAGAGGATCCCCTTCCAAGATGGCCCTCTCCCGTGGCATGGGCAGGGGCCTCAGTTTCCCAATGGCTGATGGGAGGACTCCTCGGCTCCTCACCAGAGGGCTCTCTCCATACGGGGGCTTGAGTGTCTTCACAGCATGTCAACTGGCTTCCAAAGAGTGAGCAATTCCAGGAAGAAGGCCAGGGGAAACCACAAGGCCTTCTGTGATCATCTCAGGTGTCCCTCATGACCAGTCCCATCACATTCTGTTTGTTAAAAGCGAGTCACCAACTCTCACTCAAGGAGAGAGAAATTAATCCCTACCTCTTTAAGGGAGTTATCAAAAATGTCTAAATATATTTTAAGCAACCACAATTTCCTGCAAGTGACCACCCATTTTCTAGGAAAAGAATACTGAGCACTATGTGTTCTGTAGGATTATTAACAATAATGCGGCCCAGAGCTTTGCAGTTCAGGTTTCAGTTAGAGACTTAGATATTCTTAAATCAAATGAAATAATGAAACTTATGAGTTTATCTAAGTGGCAAACTCCCTATAACACAACCTTTTGTAAATCTAAAATATTTAATTTCAGTCTGCAAATACACTTATCCTCTAGAATGCTTATTTAAGAAAAATGGAAAAACAAACCTTTTCATATTTAATTTACATTATGCACTGAAAATTAAAAATTGAAAGATGTTTATATTATTAGCCATAGAAAGTACAATTAGAGATTATTAATAATTATAGTTTTAAATAATAGATAGGCAGGTTAAACTGAAATGAAGGATATCTATCATAAGAACTAATTTTAGTGAAAAAAAAATGTATGTTAATCCTGAAAATTATGAGTTTATTATTTTCTAATATATAATGTAAAGGATATCTCAATCAGATGAATAATGTTTTGGAGGTTGTTGGATATTATTCATAGCTCAATGCCCATATTTATTTTAATAATTTGTTTTCATGAAAAAAAAAGAGAATAATAAAAAAACTAATTGTGAGGGGTGGCATACACAACAGAATTTAACTGTAAGGTTAACACAGTGCAGATTCGGAGTTAGAAGTAGCCAAACTAAAAGTGAGCCATAAAGTCTCACATATCCTCAAAGGAGAAGGAAATTAAAACAGATGAGTCATCTGAGTGAGATGGAAAACTGACTTCTCCAGTCATTCTCCAGAAGGGCAGACAACATTAAGCTGTTTGGGTGCTGTTTCTTTCTGGCTGTTTTCAGTTGAATAGTTACTTTCTTTGACTTAAGTCCTAGAAAATATGGGGCATGCTGTAAGCACATTTCAGAACTATAAATTTGATTCAGAGAAATTTGATTTAAATATCAAACAGGAACATTTCAAATCACTCCTTTTACCATTTTTACTTGAACAAATACATTTTTGTTTTCTTCTATGCATATGTGGCCCTTTTACTGAGATAGCTTTTTCAAGAACATAAGCATTATGTAAACTACAGCTTCTGAAGGTATTTTGTTTTTGAAATATGGCCAGTTTAATCTAGACACAAATTTGATTAGTATCCTATATAATAAAAGCCAATATGCTAAATGTCTGGTCATCCAGTCAACCATTCAACCAATTGAATCATAATATGCTAATGATATGCTAAGGCCACTCAACTGCTTGCTATGATGTGCACTGACCACTAGGAGGCAGACACTCCAACTGGTAGGTTAGTTTGCTGTTGGGGTCCAACCAATTGGAACTGAGTGACATGGGCTGGACACACCCTGGAGCCCTCCCATAGTCCCTCCTGGACTGGCCAATCTCCACATCCCTCCTCGGTCCTAATTACGCCCTGGTGGGGTTTCTTGGCCTGGCCTGCACCCTCTCACAATCCAGGACCCCTCAGAGGATGTCAGAGGGCCAGTTTCAGCCCAATCCCACACGCCAGGCCTAGAGAGCCCCCTGGTGCATGAATTCGTGCACCAGTCTTCTAGTGTGTGTGTGTGTGTGTGTGTGTGTGTGTGTGTTTAGAGAGAGAGAGAGAAACATCGATGTGAGAGAAAAACATCAGTTGGTTGCCTCCCACATGCACCCCTAATGGGGATCAGGCCTGTCACCTGGGCATGTGACCTGACTGCAAATGGAACCCAAGACCTTTTGGGGCACGGTCTGATGCTCGACCAGCTGAACCACACCGGCCAGGACAGGGGGCGCTAATTCACAGTCTGTTAAATTGATCTTTAGTCATTTCAAGTGGGAGTAAGAAAATGTTTAACATCTTTTATAATGCCTTTTCTTCCTCCTTTGTTACAGATACAAGTGCTCATCACCATAGGCATTAAAGTCATAGTTTATTTAAAACAGAAGAGCATGGTTCATACTCAATGTTACTAAAAGCAATGATTGCATTCAAAACAAAACAGCACTTTTAGAAAAATAGGTGTTAGTAATTTTTCCTGGGCAAGCGATCATTTACAATTTGAAATAAAATGTTGAATGTTACCACATACTTGATAGCTAAAAGAACCTCTAATTTGATCATGTGTATCCTACTGGAAGTACCTAAAGTTGTCATTATAGATATTAATTGTTAATGTCAGAGTATATGAATCCTCATAATGACAATATTCACATTTATTCTGTTTTAAAGTCAAAATTACTTCATAAATTAGATATGTTTAAAAAGAAGCATTCTGGAACTTCGATTTCTGTTGTGATGGAATAGGCATATTTCCTCTGTTCCTCCCAGTAAGAACAACTAAAAACTCTGGACAGCCTATATAATAAAAGGTTAATATGTAAATCAACCTAACAGCAGATCGACCAGTCGCTATAACGCACACTGACCCACTAGGGGGCAGATGCTCAATGCAGGAGCTGCCCCCTAGTGGTCATTGTGCTCCGCCGGGTAGCGCCGCCTAGCCAGAAGCTCTGAGCCAGGCTCATGGCTGGTGAGCCCAGCAGCAGCTCTAAGGATGTCCGACTAACATTCCCTGCAGGCCTAAGCCACCAGTCAGACTTTCCCTGAGGGCTCCCAGACTGTGAGAGGGTGCAGGCCGGGCTGAGGGACCCATTCCCCGCTCCCTTCCACCCCCGTGCACAAGGTTCGTGCATCAGGCCTCTAGTTATATATATAAAATGAACATAAGATGATTCCAAAAGTGGAGAGCAGAAAACAAACCAAGTAAGAACCTCAGAACCTGAAGAACAATACAGTGGAAATTTTGTTTGAGTTTTCTTTTTGTCTCATGTGTTCCTGACTTGGATTTGTAGAAACGGGCAAAGAAAGAAAAGAGGCAGCCTGGCAAGAGAGAAAACTTTTAGAGAGTAATTAACTCAAACCAAACACCGCAATCCAACCCCAATCCACACCAGCAAAGGCTAGCTAGACAAAGGTTTAAGGAGATGCTGTAAGGAGGTGCCCCGACACCCTCCCCATGGTGGTTTCACAGCAAATTGGGACTTCCACCTACACGGGTCTGTAACAAGGCTGCTCACCGTCCCCTCACCTCAGGAGACCAGGCTGAGATCCTGTACTTCCACCCCAACCTGGCAGTCTCAAGGTGTCCCTCCCCCTCCCCCCTGGAGCAGTGTCAGAGAAGACCTAGAGGGGAGTCAATCCAGGAGCAATGAGCCCCCCCCCCCCATTGTGGTGGGGGTGAGACCATGTGTAAGCAGAACTCACACCTCCACCCATCAGTAATAAGGAGCTCTGCCCCTTGGGTGTCAACAGTAGCTGGCTGGAGCACCTCAACTTCTACCTCCACCGTGAAGTAACAAGGTCACATTTCTTGGCACATGTATGTGAATCCACAGGCAACGTGGGCTGCAGGAGAAAGAGAGAATGTAAAATTCATGAAAGCAGAGATGTGCAGTGTTGCATTTTTTTTTCAGTGTATCCTGATTCTACCACCTTACCAGTGCTTGTCTTTGCCGCACAAGTAGTGATGAACAGAACAGGATGTTGGAGAGGCATAACTATGCTCATGGCCTTCTTCATAAGGTGGTTGTGAGGATTAAAGAAAATAACCCATAAGGAGTACCTAATTAAGCGCCTTTATAGCGAACACTGTATAAACAGTAACCATTACCACTGCTGATATCACCACGTCTATACTTTTACCACCTTCTAAGTATATTTGTCCAGAATACATTTACTGAAGCAAAAAGAAAGAAAACGCTGATCATGAGAAACCTCGGGCAGAGGTCCGACAGGCCTTTCCCATCCCCAGCGAGGATCTGCCATCTACACTGTACACTGTGGGGAAGCAAAGGCAGACTGGACACAGAAATAAGGAAAATGGATAGAGACTGCAGGAGGGGAAATGAAAGTCAAGATCAGAGGCATTACTGGCAATCTGTCTCCCGGGTGAAAGCTTCTTGGGAGGCAGGGCCATGTCTTCATCACTTTGAGAGCCACACAACGAGCACCCTGCAGTTTTGCTGAACTGAAAATGAAGAGACCCAGGGAGGGAGAATTTTAATTGAGGGATGCCTCCTTATGTTCACAGAAAAGACTTCTCTCGACTTATTCTACACTGTTTGTGCCGGCTTAGCAACAAGGACTGTGGAGCATTTTTATTCTACAAGTATCTGGAGACCAGCCATGGGGAAGATACTAAGCACAGACACAATGGCAGAAGAGAGATACAAAAAGAATCCAAGTCATGGATCTGGCCCTGGGGGAGGTCGGGAGGTTGGTGGGCAGGAGGTCAGGAGGAACAATATGGCCCTCAGGTACTTAGTACACGTTCACAGTGAGTGATAGGGGAAAAACGCAATCGACTCACAAACAAAACACCATTGCTGATATGTTTCCAATCTGGTGAAACCAGAAGTCGGCTCTATCTTTCGGATTAATTTCAAAAGGCATTTCTGAGGCTACAGGAAAGGCACATGGGCTTACTCCAGGTCTCATCTAGTTCTTAGATATTTCTCAAAGTTCAATTAATCAGCATAAAAATTGTGCTTAAGTTTTTTGTGGTTTCTTTTGTGTGTGTGTGTGTGTGTGTGTGTTTTATTATTTGTTTGTTTTTAAAACATCAATGTGAGATGCCGGGACCGGCTTGGCTCAATGGATAGAGCGTCGGCTTGGGGACTGAAGGGCCCCGGGTTCGATTCCAGTCAAGGGCATGTACCTTGGTTGCAGGCACATCCCCAGTAGGGGGTGTGCAAGAGGCAGCTGATCAATGACTCTCTCTCATTGATGTTTCTAACTCTCTATCTCTCTCCCTTCCTCTCTGTACAAAAATCAATAAAATATATTAAAAAAATAAAAAATAAATAAATAAAACATCAATGAGAGAAAGAACATTTCTTGGTTGCCTTCTACATGTGCCCCGACTGGGCATCGAGCCCCCAACCCAGGCATGTGCCCTGGCCAGGAATCAAACCCACAACCAACTGTGCCGCCCTGGCCAGGGCTGTGCTGAAGTTTTGCTCAAACGTGTGCACAGCCACACCACACGGAATGACCTCAGAAGTGCTGCTGACAAGACTACCAGAAGCTTCTGGCTGCTGTGGCTTCCAGATGTCAGTCACCTGGAGAGTAGGAAGCCAATTGCACGCCGGAAGGAGGAGCTGAGGCTGTTTTTATCCCAGGCCTGAGTGCCGCTCGAGGGCAGAGCCTCCTGGCTGTGACAGGATGTGCAGGCTTCATCGTCTTGGGCCCACAGTCTTGGTTCCAGTGCATTGTTAAACACACACTGACTCTCAAAAACGTCTTCACAAAATAACCGAAAAACGTGTCCTCACGGAGCACAGAAGCTGGCCTGATTGCATAAGCAGGAAAGTGACAGGGAGTATAAATTATTCTCATTTAAGAAATTTCAGCCAGTTTGCACCCGATGTCAATGGTTTCATGAAGGAGAGGCAGCAATATGCCTTCAGGAACCTTCATTATCCACATAAGTCTGTCACAATAGTATCTGGCCAATATATTTTTATTGCTTCGTGGGCTGACACTCAGCCACTGAGCCACAGCTGCGGGGCTACCATTTGTTTTGTTTTTTTGTGTCTTTAAATTCCATGCTTTCTCACATCCTGTGAGATAAATGGCATTATTGTCCCTAGTTTAGAATGGAGGAAATGGAGAGTCCAAGAAGTGGAATGAACTGTCTAAAGTCACACTGCCATTAAAAGGTTTAAGGAATAACTCAGAGAAAGAACAAAAACTAAACAGAAAGGAAAGAAAGGAGATGGTTTCTAGTTTCGAAACCAATTGAAGCTCAAGGCAGGCAATTAAATGGAATGTAAGCATGTCAGGTGAAAACGCTCTGCTTTTCTTCCCAACGAAGGGAGGAACAAGAGCTTCTCCTCCTCGGAGCACAGCAGAGGTCAAGTTTAATGCCAGGGAGGGTGCATGCTAGCAGAGGAAGAATTTGAAATCAGCGTTCCGGGTCCCATGACCTCCTGGTTCATGAATCAATGCTCAACCACTGAGCCACGCCGGCCGGGCAAAGACAGCATCTTTGCCAACGAAAACCACAGAGGTTTTTTTAGTCTATGCCATCTATTTTGTGATGTGATCCAATGTCTCTTGACTATTAAAGAATTATTCCACCCAAGCTAATTCTGCTTGGATGAGTTCTCTTTATTTTTTCCTACCAATCTGTTAACATTTTGCAAAATATACATATGAGCTGGGAAAGAAGAAGAAACTGAAGATCAGAAAAGGTGTCGATGCAAATCACTTTAACTTTCAGATTTTGTTTGCAGAGCTAAAAATGCAACACATATCACAAACGGTCATTTCGTACAATTCCTAATCTGTAAATATAAATGGGAGGCAGTTAAAGCAATGGGTCTCTCAACCGGGGCGGTTTTGCCTACGAGGGAACATTTGGCAATCACTGGCAGGGGTCCTCAAACTTTTTAAAGTGGGGGCCAGATCATGGTCCCTCAGAGAGCTGGAGGGCCGGACTATAT